GGGGGCGCAGAACAGCGTGACCCCCGCTCCCGGTCACTCCCGGTCAGTCCCGGTCAGTCCCGGTCGCTCCCGGTCAGTCCTGGTCAGTCCCGGTCGCTCCCGGTCGCTCCCGGTCACTCCTGGTCACTCCCGGTCACTCCCGGTCACTCCTGGTCAGTCCTGGTCACTCCCGGTCACTCCCGATCACTCCCGGTCACTCCCAATCACTCCCGGTCACTCCCGATCACTCCTGGTCACTCCCGGTCACTCCCGATCACTCCCCATCACTCCCGGTCACTCCCGATCACTCCTGGTCACTCCCGGTCACTCCCGATCACTCCTGGTCACTCCCCATCACTCCCGGTCACTCCCGGTCACTCCCGATCACTCCCGGCCGCTCCCGGTCAGTCCCGGTCACTCCCGGCCGCTCCCGGTCAGTCCCGGTCACTCCCGGTCAGTCCCGGTCACTCCCGGTCGCTCCCGGCCGCTCGCGCGGCTCCGTTTGAGGGCAGCGACGGTGATTCACCCAAAATCTGCGGCTTCCCCTCGGAACGCCGTGAAACCACAGCCGGCGATGCCCACCGGGCAACGTGCAGAGCCTCAGCCTGGCGCCCCAAAATCCTCCACAGGATGCCAAGGGCTGCGGGGTGGGCACGTCCCGCTCGGCAGCCGAGGAGAAGCGGAGCTTCGCTGCCGTGGGGCATCCTCGGAGAGGCTGCAAGGAGCGCGGCCGGCTCCCGAAGCGGTCAATCCGCGGGAGCACACTGAGCTGCCCCCTTCCCCGAGCTTTCCAGCGGCTCTGCCAACCCCCCAGAGCAGCCCCCGGCCCACGCCGTGCCCGGGGCTGCGAGGCCGGGGCCGTGCGGGGTCACCCCCGCCCCGCCGGTGTCGCGGTGTCCCCGCCGGACCTTGCGCTTCTTGCGGCAGTTGCACTGGCCCATCCTGCTGCTGGGGGTCTCTCCGGGGGTCTCTCCTGTGCCGCGGGGTCCGGGGGAGCTGGCGGGGGAAGGAAGCCAAGCTCAGCTCTCGGCTCGGGGGGGAGCTTCCCCTCCTCCGGCGCCAGGACTCCTCCTCATCCCCGAGCCGAGGGCGAGGAAGGAGCCCCGGGATGCGGCGCTGGAGCTGCCGGGACACGTCCCCGGCGTCCTCGCAAGTCGTGGCAGAGCCGAGCGTGGGAGCAGAGGGGCCCGGGGCGCAGCCCCCCCCCGTCCCGTGGGGCGGCCGGGCCACTTACCTGCAGCACGGGCTGTCCCAGGTGTGCGCGGGCTGCGGCGGGCCGGGGTTTTATACCGGGGAGGTGTGAGTGGGAGCTCCGTGGTGCAAGGCGTCTCATTTGGGAGCCTGGCCCGGCGCCAGCGTGGGGCCGGGAAACGCCTCCTTCCCGGCCACACCGACGGTTCCACATCCCAGCGGGCCCGGCACGGCGGCGTGGGAACGGCACCGGGCCCGGAGCGGGATTTCAGCGGCCCAGCAGCGCCGGGATTCGGGGGGTCTGAACGCTGATGTCCTCCAGCGGGGATGTGCTGGCGGATGTGTCCCCCCCGTGCCACCCAAGACCCTCAGAGGACGGGCATGGATGCCATGGAGATGGTGGCATCGCTGCCCGGATCCGCCGTGCCCCACCCCGGCCACAGCCACAGCTCTGCCCCCCACGCCCCCCCCAGCGCGGCAGGAAGGTGTTTGTGGGGCGCAGGGTGGCACCCCAAAAGCCAGACCAGCGCAAGGGCAATTTGGGAACGGCTCCGGAGCCACGGAGTGACCCCAAAGCCACAGCCCGGGGCTGAGCCTGTCCCCAGCGTGGCCACCATGGGGAGGGAGGTGGTGGGGGCTGGGATCAGAGCCCCCCAGCAAGAACAGCAGGATGCTCAGGCTCAGGGAAACCTCTTTATTTGAGTCTCCATCACTTCTTGCCCGCTTTGTCCCTGCGCACGGCCTTGGCCAGCTCCCCGATCAGCCTCCAGTACTCCCCAAACCTCAGCTCCTCGTCGTTGTTCACGTCCAGCTCGCTCATCTTCTCCTCCAGGGAGGGCACATCCTGCGGGGAGCGCACGGGAGGGCGCCTCTGATGCCCAGACACCGGCACGGGCACCAGGCTGCCAACCCCGGGGGAGCGGGAGCAGCGCCGCTGTTCAGGGGGACCCCCGGAGACCCCCGGGGACCCCGCGGTGCTGCTGCTGCCCACCTCACCTTCATCAGGTTGGGCAGCTGGAGCCGCACCAGCTCCTTGAACTCGCCGGCCGTCAGCGTGCCCTTCCTGCCCTCCTTGGCGGCGAAGGTGACAAACACGGTGACGATGCGCTCGATGGCCGCCTCCAGCTCCGTCAGCTCCATCGGCGGCTCGGTGGGCTCGGTGGGCTCGGTGGGCTCGGCCGTGGCCATGGCACCGGACACGCCGCTAGCCCGGAGCTGCAGGGACAGGAGCCCAGCGGGGGTCGCATGCAGAGGAGTGTCCCAGGTGGGGACCCTCGCCCCCTCCCCAGCCCAGCTCGGGCTCAGCTCAGCCCCGCAGGGCTCAGGAGGGGTCCCGGGGCTTGTGCAGGAGGGGCAGCGGGTCCCGGTGGTGGCGGAGCGGGGACACGGGGAGGGGACAGGGGGGACATCGGTGGGCCGGAGCTGCGGCGAGCGATGCCCCACTTACCCCAGGCTGCGGGCAGGTCGCGGTCCCCGGGAGGTTTCGAGGGCTTCGGGAGCTTTGGGGAGTTTTCAGGAGGTTTTATAGCCGCGCCGCAGGAGGGGACAGCGCAGCCTTTGTCCCCCCCGCGCCGGTGTTGGGTTTCCTGATGCGGCCGGACGGACGCGCAGTCACCGCCCGGGCGCCGCCGTCCGTCGGTCCGTCCGTCCCTCCGTCCGTCCCTCCGCTCCCTCCCCTCCTGGGCACCGGACCAAACTCGGCCTGAACTCGCCGCGGCCTCCCGGGGACCTCCGGTGGGGACAGGACGGGACCGCGGGCAGAGAGTGCCCCGGCGCTGCGGCATCACCGGGGCCGCGCACAGAAACATTCCCGGGATCGGGATCGGTTTGGTTGGAAAAGACCCCCGAGAGGATTGAATCCAAACTCTGAGCTCCATTCCGGGGGTGCAGGGCAGGTGTCACCCCCAGCTCTCTCCCTGCAGGGCTGGGGACACTGAGGTGACCCCAGGGCTCCGGTCACATTCCGGTGACATCCCTGTCACATCCCGGGCAGTGTCACCGAGCCAGGGCCCGGCTCGGCCCGCACCGAGTGAGAGTTGTGACTCAGCCGCCCGCTGACATCATCCCTATTAATAGTGGGCTCTGTAAAAAATTAATTAATCCAAATTAATTAGGGGGTTGGAACGGCCCCAGCGCTCCCCTTTAATCAGTGGGTATTTATAACATGGCAGCCCTGGCAGACCCAGCAGCTCCTGCGGGCACCCCAAATCCCCCGGGGACCCCGAGGGGACCCCGCACACAGCCTCAGGACTGTCCCCACGGGTGTGACAAACAGCGAGGCTGCAGCGAGCAGCCCCCCACGGCAACACGCGGGAATTTGGGGTCCCAAAGCCCCAGCGGTGTTTTGGGGACCGAGGGCAGGGGGATCCCCGGTACAACGTCACCATCACGGTTTGTGCTGAGCCCCGACACGCTGGCGGGGACAGGGAGGCTCCCACGGGCGCGGGGTGGCCCTGTCCCCACCCCAGAACCGTCACACCAGCTCACGGGGCAGGAATTGGCTTCCTGCCGCCCCATCCGGCCCCGGGATGACGGAGGGGACGGGGCTGGGACGGTCACCGAGCCCCACGTCAGGGCACCGGGGTGGCCTCTTGGGAAAGCGGCGGGTGAGTCAGGCCCGGCAGGGACCGGGACAGGTTTGGGGTGAATCACCGGCCCCGGAGCCAGGCGGGCCCGTGACTCCCCGGCCCTGGAATTCGGGGTGAGGAAGGGGCAGATGCAGCAGCAGCCCCACAACAGGAGGGGAAGGGACATCCAGGTCTTTTGTCAGCCTGGGATCCCTGTCAGGACTGTCCCCACGGGAAGGGGACACCGGCATGGCCAGGAGGGGACCATGGAGGGACTGGGGCCACGGAGGGACTGGGGCCATCTAGGGACAGGGATGGGGGCCATATAGGGTCAGGGACTGTACAGGGACTTGGGCCATGTAGGGACAGGGACAGGGCCTTATAGGGTCAGGGAAAGGGCCATACAGGGACTTGGTCCATATAGGGACTTGGGCCATATAGGGACAGGGACAGGGCAATATAGGGATGGGACCATAGAGACTTGGGCCATTTAGGGACAGGGAAGGGACCATATAGCAACTCAGGCCCTATAGGGATGGTACCACACAGAGACCTTGGCCATATAGGGACAGACACCATACAGGGACTTGGCCCATATAGGACCACAGGACCCCGTGTGACAGGGTGACCACGTGCAGGGGGTCAGTGCCCACTTCCACATCCTCATTCCGGGGTTCTCCACAACCCGTCTGGGTTGGGGACCCCAACTAGGGATGGCCACCACGATGCCCAGCCCGGCAGTGGCCCCTGCTGGCCCCGTCGGGGCTCGCTGGAGGGGACCGCGAGTGCCAAAGCCACCGCGGTGTCCCCAGCCCGGCCACTGCAGCTCCTCCCTTTCCAAACCCCGGGGATGGAAAAGCCTCTTCCAAAGCCCCGGTGATGGGATGGGGAGACAAGATCGGCCCAGCCCGGCACCGGGAACTGGAGCAACTGGTTTAGCTGGGTCAAAGTGGAGCAGGGGAGTCGCAGTGGCTGGAACCTGTTCCAAGCTGTGTGTAAAGCTCCTGGCATGTCCCTCGCTGCTCCTGCTTCGGGAAGAGCTCCTGGGAATGTGCCAGCCGTGCTGGGCGTGCTCTGCCCCGGCCGCAGGGTCTGAGACCCGCCCCGAGACCCCCCGGTGTTGGGGTTCACCCTGGGGCACCTCGGTCCTGCTGTCCCAGAGGGTTTGGGGGGCTGGGAATGCATGGCCCTGTCCCCTCTGTCCCCGCCTGGCAGGGAGTGGGGTCGGGGTTATTTTTGGGTAATGCCCGTCCCTGTCACGAGCAGCTGCTGGCCCCGGTGACGTTCCCGGGCTCTCCCGGAATCCTGCCCGCTGTGAGCTGCTCGGGGGACAGGGACACGGCGAGTGAGTGCCACGGGGCCCCTCCCGGCGCCCCCAGGCTCGGGATCCCGGGATCCAGCCCCTCCCGGAGCCCCCCAGGCTCGGGATCCCGGGATCCAGCCCCTCCCGGCGCCCCCAGGCTCGGGATCCCGGGATCCGGCCCCTCCCGGCGCCCCCAGGCTCGGGATCCCGGGATCCGGAGCCCCCCCTCCCTGCCCCACCGCAGGATCGGGGCCGTGTCCCCTCCCGAGCTGCCCTTTGGGACCCCCCGCTCCCACCCGGGACTCGCAATTCCAGCTGGGACCCCTCCCCTGTCTGGGGACCCCCACATCCATCCAGTTTCCCCATTCCCAGCGCAGTGGGGAGGGGGCTTGGCCCCACACGACCACCGGGTTTGGGACCCCGGGCAGGGCCCACCCCCGGCCGCGGGGCAGGAAGTGCGGGAGGTGGGAGCAGGATGTAATTAGCCCCAAATTAGGGCTGGAAGCCGGCACGAGGAGCCCGGCAGCACCCGGCGCTCGGGAAAATGCTGCTCCTGTCTGAGGGGGTCCCAACTCCTGGGGAGGGTCCCAGAGAGGGGGGCTGAGGAATTTGGGGGATGAAGAACTTGGGGGCTGAGGAATTTGGGGGATCAGGAATTTGAGGGCTGAGGAATTTGGGGGATGAAGAACTTGGGGGCTGAGGAACTTGGAGGATCAGGAATTTGGGGGATTAGGATTTTGGGGGATCAAGAATTTGAGGGCTGAGGAATTTGGGACTTGAAGCATTTGGAGGCTGAGGAATTCAGAGGATCAGGAATTTGGGGACTGAGGAATTTGGGGGACTAGGAATTTGGAGGATTAGAAATTTGGGGAATCAGGAATTCGGGGGCTGAGGAATTCGGGGGCTGAAGCATTTGGGGGATCAGGAATTCGGGGGATCAGGAATTCGGGGGCTGAAGCATTCGGGGGATCAGGAATCCGGGGGATCAGGAATCCGGGGGCTGAGGAATCCGGGGCTGAGCTCCCCGGGGATGCCGGAGCCGGGCAGGCTGCGGGCTCCGGCCCGCGCGGATCCGGGGCCGTAACGGGATCCTCGGGATTATCAGCATCACCGGGGCCAGCTCGGGCTCCGGTTTCTTGGCCGAGGCGTTGCTGCAGCAACGTCGGGCTCGGGATTGTGGGGCCTTTTCAGGCGGACAAGAGCCCTTTGAGAGCGCGGGGGGCCCCGCGGAGTCACCCGATACCCCCGCGCCTCCCCCCGGGCCGCGCTGGCTCCCGTGGCCGGGCAGCGGACACCGGATCCCGTTATCAGCGCCGGGAGCGGGGCTGGCCGCGGATCCGGCCCCGGGGATGCGGCCCCGATCCCGGCGCTGACAGACGGGGGATGCCCGCGGTGCCACCGAGGGGTCACGGCGTGGCCACCGCCGTCACCTGGGGGTCCCCGGGGACTGTCCCCAGCGAGGCACCCCCGCTGTCCGTCCCAACCCTGCCGATGTCCCCAATTTTCTGAGCATCCCGGAGCATCCTGGGGGGTGGCGAGGGGCGCTAAAGGGACCCCCCCCCCCCACCCGCCGGTGCTCCCCCCCCCCC